AGATAGTCCTTGCATATCAGCAAAAACTAACAATGACAAGATTGCTTCTTTCTGATATTTTTCTGGTCAAATATACGACTGCTGCAGCTGTTGGCATTCTGGGAATCGAACTCGGGACCTCCCACAGCCAAAAGCGAGAATCATACCACTTAGGGCGAATGCCCTGTCGTTGAGTATTCCGGTTGAAATGCAAGAGAAAACTCTGTCTGGTCGGTGCTTTTTCTGAAAGCCGTTTCCTGCTTCCCGCTGATATTTTGTAAGTTTATCTTGAGATTTTCAGGGGATGCGTTTTCAATTGTTGAAGCTCAATCTTGGAGAATGAGTTAGAACACCACACATGTAAGTCCCCACTCTATTGTTCAAAATGTTTGACTCATTGTCGGTATGCATGTTTTCTATATCCTAGCTGCGTATATACGAGATTTATATGTATTCTATTAGTTTAAGCTCTGTGATGAGAATCAAGCAGAGTACTAGGAACCGGACTTGGCAACTCTTTGCCCCCTAACTGACTACATACCGTTACATCGGGTTAGAGCTTACCGATGAGTATGGTGATTGATCTGTTGTTTTAATTTTAAAAATATATTATTTATGTATGATATTTATTTTTTTTATACTAGATATTTATCTTTTTATACTTATATGGAATGATATGTTATTATATTTTTTTTTATTCTTATATTATGATAGATTATTGTGCTATTCTTACAAGTATATTATAATTTTTGAATCCCCATTTTTCGTCATATATTCATTGATTATTTTTTGTTTTGTCGTGAACTGTTTTTTTGACCCGTTTAAAAACGGACCCAGGAGCCGCCCCGTCAAACCACGGGTTACGAAAAAAGATATATTTTTTAATATATTTTTTAAGCTTTATGGGCTAGAGGATCCGAGTTGGGTCGAGTGTGTTTTGTTACTCGTTAAATACGGACTGTAACGTTTCATATCCCCCTTTGTTGTTTTTATTTTTTCTTCTTGATTTGGGTCGAGTGTTTATATATATATATATATATATAATGATACATGGCATGTGAAAGCCGCATATTGACCAAAGGTACGCTATGAATCTGTCCTTTGAAGTTTGAAGGGTATTATTTAGTTTTAGATTCTATTATTTACGTGGAGAATTCGAGGTTTAGTGCATGTATAATTAATTCGAGATTCAAAGAGGAACAGAGAGATCCTCGTCAATGTGCTCTTAATTACAATGATGATGTGTAAATGAAGAGTATTATTGCACGTGCATGATGGATATAAACATTGAAAACAGTGAATTGATTCGTTGTATACAGCTTATAAGGCTCTTTTTTTTTAATTAAATTAAATTCGATTCAGAGTTTCACATATGACTAAACTCTTGATAGATTGTACGTTTTCGTATTCTCATATCGTTATATATTTAGATGCTATATCTTTTAGCGTAGTAATATCTGAATTAAACAGTCTTCGACCGTCTTGCAGCTTAAATTAGATTTTTGTAAGTAAAACTATATATATATATATATATATATATATGTGAACATTCTCCATGAGATAACAAAAGAGATTCATTGCCAAACAAATTTGCGGAATCATGTACCTAGCGTCTGTTCATGTTAATGTTCACTCGGATCAATTATTTCTAATTGCAAAAGCATTAATTGAACACGCAGGAATCCAAATTAACAAAGTGATTATTTTATTATATAAAAATAGCTGAAGATGTAAAATCCTCAAAAACATTTTACTCGGGGGAATGTTTTTGTTTAAAGAAAAAAAAAACACTTTGGAATGTTAAAACTCGGGAGAATGTTTAGGCAGTTTCCTCGTACTTTGTTTGCCCTAACTCTTCTGCGTGTTATTTAGAGAAATGGATTCACAATATTAATATTAATCACGCAATGTATAAAAGAAACTCACCAGACACCATACACGCAAGTGTTCACTGATATATATATATATATTCCCGATGGCATTAACCAGAGAGTTAATGCAACATTATTATTATTATTATTCTAAAATAATCGCATTTCTCATTTTAATACTGATATATCTACTATGATGATCGTATACAAAACTCAACCTAAAGCAGAAATATCGATCTATATTTGTAATTTTTCGGACCTATATTTCTTATTTGGTAGCCAAGGATAATAGAAATAAAATTTGTTCTCGAATTTCCGAAATTGTCTCAAATGTTTAGAGTTATTCATATCATTAAAAAAACAAGAATATAATATCTCCATGTCTCTGCATAAGCATTATAAAGGTTTGATTTTTTCAAACTCTAAATGGACGAGATTATTATATATCGACAATGGCATGGGAATTCACGTGGCCATGCATGACCAATCAAATTAATTACAGCAACGCATTGAGGATTTATATATATACACACACACGTTAATATACCATATATGTAAAGATGCATCGTCTTTAAGATTTCCTATAGATATACGTTGTACAGTGTTTAAAGTGCATTCATTCGTAACATATACACACATGTTCAAATTCTATATATATATATATATATATATATATATATATGAGAATGCATGTGAAGGGAAGTTAGGGCATTGAATGGAAGGCATGTTGGTGTAATTACGAGTAAGGGTTCATTTAGTGAATGACTGCAAAAATTGAGCGCAATTGTTGCTTACATTTGCTCTCTTCTATAGAAAGTAGAAACACTCATTTATTACCGCACTTCCCATCCATTTCATTATATTATATTCTCTCTCTCTCACATATATATATATATATATATATGTGTGTGTGTGTGTGGTGGCATGTCACATGAGTCATATAGATGTTTGTTTTGTGGTTAATTTTGTGGAGAAATTCTTGTACAGTCGGATTGGTGATAGATTTTTGGGTGATTTTCTAATTTGTTGCATTAGAAAGTTATATTTTATATTTGATAAATTATAAATTATATCCATAGTAATATATTTTATTTTTAATCATTTATATTAATTTATTAATAGTCTGGGTAGGATCGTTTAGTATTTATATTGATTTCTATTTCGGTCCCAATTTTATTAGATTTTTGTTTTTTAGTTCAATATTTACTTAAAAAATATTTCATTTGTTTTCTTTGTTCAATTAAAATGTTGATTTTGATTTAGATAATTTGATCTCAATAAAATCATATACAAACTGTTTCATAGTAGATTTGATTTAAATAAAATTACATATTTTCAGTTCCGGTTTATTCAGTTTTACATTACATACCCAATGGAATTAAATACTACTAAGCTTCGGTTTTTTCTTATTTAAATAAAAAACATAATTTCATCAAAAGTATAGACTATAATTTCAAGGGGAGTTTGGACAATAATAAATAGAAGCGATAGGACAAGTGAAGGGTTTGGGTGGAGACAGAAAGGAGTGTGAAGAGAGGAAATGAAACAAAAATAGAAACTTTGAATAAACCCATTAATAAATTCGTCTCTTTATCACTCATATGTACTATTTCTTCGGTGTGGCTATGAGCCATGCTACAATTATTGCAATTTGTACACTATATTACATATATAATATGTACACAATTTTCACATTGTCTACATCTTGTACTTTAATAATACCATTGAATAGTGCGTTTCGTGATCCTTTTTGAAATTTTGACGGTTCGATTCGGAAACGGTTTATTAGGTATTCTAAAATTTATACCAAATTGGAACCGTATATTATTGGATCAGTTCCGATTTCAATACGGTTCGGTTTCGGTTTTTCTTAAAGAATTTTAGATTTTTTAAAGAAAATTTCGATTTTTCGGAAATTTTATAAAGTTCGATTCCAAGAAATTTGGTTATGTAAAAAATATAATGTTCGAGAATTTTGAATGATACGATTAAAAAAAACTGAAATTTCTGCTTCGATTCGGTTTGGTTATCGTCCATCTAGGTTACGTAAGTATCCCATAAGATTGTGTTTTAGTATTTAAATTAATTAGTATATTAATTTTATATATGTATTTTTTATAAAAAAAAAAAACAAACTGATGCATGTTTTGTGTATATCTACAACGGGAACTAATCGATTATTTATCTCGTGAATGAGTAATTAATTGGGGGAACCATGTAATTATATAGTATTTGAAAAACTTGACGACCCTCGGGCCAATCCAAATGAAATTACCGATATTAATTTCCTTTTGACTCCCAAAATCTTCCATTTTCTTCGGTTACGTCCGAAAAAATTCCAACACCCTTGTTTGGCTCCTCGCACAGCATAACATCACATCCAAACAGCCCCTTTGTTTCCTCTCCATGAATCATGAAAATCAAAACTCATACATTAAAAAAAAGTAATAGTTAATTTATTTTGTTAAAATTCGCAATTTCTTTCAAGACTGAACAAAATAACCCCCCTCTTTATGTCTTGTTCTATTTAATGTTAAAGAGCTGTGATATTTCTTCTTCTTCTTTTTTTTTTTTAATTATTTGTATAAATTTACAAGAGATGTCAGAAGGGAAATAAGTAGAAATCCTTGTTAAAGACCAAACAAGGGGAGCTTGAAAGAATCTACTGCTTCGATCTCTGAAGAAATTAGAGTTCGTACTTTTGAATGCAGAGAATTGTAAGGAAGAAGTCATGGGTTTGCATTAAACATCGCGGAGAAATTAGAATTTATCCACAATCTCTCTTTTATTTTAAAAAAAAAAATTCTTTTACTTGTGTTATGTGATGGGAAAAGGATATTTTACTATATTTAATTTAACTTTTTTATTTTAGATATTTATACTAGATAATTAGGATTTAAATATAGTATATTATAATTTTAAACTTTAAATAATCATTGTTTCTAATAATATTTTTATTTGAAAATTTTAGCGGATTCTATAAAATACTATATATATATATATATATATATATCAAATGTGTTTGACCTGCGAGTCTTTTTGTAATATTTAATTTACTAAGCCAAGTAATGATCTCTTATGCCTTATGTGTCAACATTCCAACAATCACTTTCACTAATCATTATAAAGTTATATATATATATATATATGTATATATAGACATTCCTCGTGAACATCTTTGATTGGTAATTGTGCGTAGATAATTAGGAGTAACATCTAATGGGAATTTCCTGTTTCAGATTTTATCTACAAACAAAAATAGGGAACATATTACTCCCTCCATTTCAAAATATTTGTAGTTTATGTTATTTTCTATGTTGTAGTTTTACATTTTCAAGACATTTTTTATAATAGTTTCCAATTTTATTCCTACCAAATTCCAATACATCATGATTGATTGATTGTATTGTTTTTATCATCAAATAAGGATATATATGTGATTTTTTATACATTTTCTTAAAAAATGTGAAATCATCTAAAACAATAAATATTTTGAAACAGAGAGGGAGTATTTTTTTTTTCTAATGTTAAATACGTGTATACGTACAGATGTTAATACATGTATGCGTGTATATATATATAGTATGTGTGTGTGGGAGATATGGGTATGACTGTGTAATTAATTAATAAATGATGTGAAGAGGTGAATATATATGTGGGATGGGTAGGTGAAAGTGGTGAGGGGTATATAGAAAGTGCCCTAAAACCCTTGTTGTTTTACCACTTACGTTTCCTCTTCCCTTCTCCTCGGCGTCAATAACTCTCTCTGTGATATCAAATCAAGACACCATCATCATCACCTCCGCACACACCAAAGCATATATACACAGACATATATATACATACATATACATATATCTCTTCTTGAAACCAATGGGTTCTTCGAACAGACACTGGCCAAGCATGTTCAAATCCAAACCTCATCACCAGTGGCAACACGACATCAACTCCCCTATCCTTCCTTCAAGATCGTCTCCTTTCTCTTCAGGTATATGTATATATACATGTGTATATCTATGTGTGTATATATATATATGAGGTTGATTAGTGAATTCCGTGGAATTTGGTCCGACTGAATCGGTTTATGTAACGTTTTGTCCTGGGAAGGGTGTGAAGAGCGGAGCCCGGATCCTAAGCCGAGATGGAATCCCAAACCAGAACAGATTCGGATCCTCGAAGCGATCTTCAACTCGGGAATGGTGAATCCACCGAGAGATGAGATCAGAAGGATTAGGGCTCAGCTCCAAGAGTACGGACAAGTGGGCGACGCAAACGTCTTCTACTGGTTTCAGAACCGCAAGTCCCGAAGCAAACACAAACTCCGTCTCCTCCATAACTCCAAACGCTCCCCCTCCCAACCGCAAACGCAAACGCTGAATTCTTCTGCTTCCCCTTCTTCCTCTTCCTCCTCTTCATCCCCCAAATCCACCAAACTCTATAATACCAAGAATTACACCAATTCCGACACTTTCAACAGCAACAACACCGATATCGCTCTTGGTGTCAATTCTTCGTCGATTATACCAAAAGGCGGTCCGGTTGCAGTGGAAAAAAACCCGGTTCTTGGTATGTTTCCGGCCGAACCGGCCTTTCTTTTCCCGGTTTCTCCCATGACAACGGCCGGAGCGTTCGAGGGTTTCACAGGAGGGTCACACTTAGGGTTTGTCTCTGGCCAAATGATGAGTAATGTTGTGACTCAGGAGCAGAAACCGGGTGCAGCCACGACAGTCGGGCCTTGTACAGGGCTTTTGCTGAGTGAGATAATGAATAGTGTGAGTTACAATGGGACTAACCTAAGTGTCAAAGAACATGAAGAGATGAGGATGAAGATGTTACAGCAACCACAGAATCTTTGTTACGCAACGAGTTCGAACACAGCTCCGACTAGTTCTTACAACAACTCGGTCGTTCCTTCTCTTTCTTCGGCTTCTGTCACCGTTTCATCGGTTTCTGATCATCGTGATCAGCTTCAAGTTCAAGGTAAGGAGACAAACCTTTCAAAAAAGAAAAGAATCTTGCAACAAAACCTTAGAAACGTGACATGGGTATGCCTTCATATAATTAACATGCAAATTCATAACCCACAAGGATAAAGTTTAATATTGAGAAACAAAATATTTATATTATGAACAGCAGGGGAGAAAATAAGGGTGTATGTCAATGAGATGGAGGTGGAGGTGATATATGGACCATTCAACGTGCGAGAGGCATTTGGGTCGGAAGAGGCCGTGCTGATCGACTCGGCCGGGCAACCCGTTCTTACCGACGAATATGGCGTCTTGCTTCGGCCTCTCCAACACGGTGCCTCCTACTATCTGGTTATGTTCCTCACTAGTTCTTTCCCTTTCTGTTATTATGGATATATTAATTGGTATAATATATATATATATATATATATATATATGTATATATCTCAATATTGTCTTTTGGATTAGATAGTATTATGATTATCATCATATACTTTGTGCATGCGTATATATTGAGCTGTATCAACTAGCGAAACATAGTATGTGTGTCTCAGACATTAGATTTTGCTGTGAATCAAATTGCACTCCAAGGGTAAAAAATACTAATTCATATTACATATATATGTATACATATAAATGTGCATCTCAATATGAGAGTGTGGGTTTGTTAAAATGTATCTGCTAAAAGACACGAGTCAAGTAGAAATATTCATTTTTTGGTAAGAGTGATACTTATATTAATTGGATAGCTTTGAAGTCTAGCAGCGAATCTAGTGTTTAGATCTTGTATTGTCTTTGGGGGAGACAAAATAGATAAAATGCATGTGGGAGACTTGTGGTTGGGTTATACGTACATATACGGATACTGTAAAATCAGTATACAACTGTAGTTTGTGTGTGTGCGTGTGTATATATATATATATATATATATATATATATATATATATATATATCACATCATCAAGAAGTAGTGCCTTGAAAATGATCACATCATCTTCGTTGGGCTCGACCGTAAGTACGTACGTCATGAATTTGCTCGCTCAAGAAAATGCCTTAATAGGTTTCTAATAAACAAACGCAAAACAATTAATTGACAAGTAAGAGTGAATAATCGATCATGTTCAAATAATCAATTCTATCGCTGATTTCGAAATTCTTCTTTCGCCTTTTTTGCAGATTTAGAGGCGGTGATGAGACTATACCAAGATTCCGTTTGAACCAAAAGACATCTCTCTCTCTCTCTCTGGTTATCCATAGCATAGAATTAGGGTTCAGTTACTTCTCATGGCGTTATGATGTATGACTTCCGTACAACATCAAACTCGTAGGTTCAACCGGTGAAACGAGGACACAAAACGTTTGTCCCACCCCGAATTCGAATCTCAAATTTGGGGAGTGAACGTATAATCCAAATCGATTTCGAAATTAATCTGAGTTTTGATATAGGATATTCGGTTACCTAAAAAAAATGCAAAACTACTGTCTATATATAATTGTGTTTGATGATATATATATATATATATATATAAACGAGATCCAATCAAGGTGAGTTTATATATATTGGTCGAAATGATTAAACACATTTATCTATAATATATATAGAGACATCATCATGAAGATATGGACAAACATCCTTAGTGGTTCAAATTCAATCATCAGCATGTCATTGTTTTTACGCCTCTTTTTTAGGCAAAAGATTTGCTTGTCCTAACCAAAAGCTCTATCCACCACCACCATCAGAAACGTTATATCTAAGATGTTGTCATTTTCTCCCTACAAAAATACTCCTGAAAATTTTTCTATATGTTTAAAAATAGGGAAAAAAAAAGAATCATCACGGTATATACAAAAATTACATCTACGACTATTAATATCTCGGATATAAAATTAGTTAAACTTCACAAAAAAAGGGGTACCTTAACTCTTTATCTCTATTACACATTATAATACTTGTAAGGGTGGCTATTTTGGTTATTGGATTTGTTTCCATAATATTCGATTCACGTTTTTCGCTTTTAGAAAAATTATAAATTTATATCTCGGGTTGGTTTTGTTTACAATTAAGGCTATTAACGGCTTATTGATTCGTTTCAATTCACATTCGATTTTAATGATAAAAATAACTATTTAAAAATTGATTTTTCAATTATTTTTTGTATTGGTTCGCAATTTTAGAAAAATTATAATCATTCAATCTTTATATAGAATTGGATTTATTTACAATTATATGTTATTCGATTCATATAGGTTTGATTTATACATAACCGAACCATATTCTATTTGGATAAGTTCGACTTATATATAACCGAATCAATCCCCACCCATGCTTGTTACAATTGCTATGTCATTTGGAATTATTCCACCGATTCAAACCATATTTAGATGATTAGTTGTGATATGAACTAAGAATTAAAATTAAAATAATAATTTTTTATTTAAATTTCAATTCGATTATAAAAAAATAAACAAAACAATTAATATTTTAATAAATTTTAAAAAATAACTAAAAATACTTTAAAATCCATCCCACATTAGATTTGAAAGTTTTGGTATCCAACAAAATTACAACAGTTACAATCAATTATTCCACTGTATTATTTTGATAAAAGAGATGCAAATCTCAAATTAGGAAATTAAGAAATTAATTAGACAGAAATGCTATATACAGTAACGTAGAAACCTATGATTATTGAGTTAATTAAGGAAATCAAATCAATTATGGCTAGTGTTTTATACTAAAAATTAAAATTAAGCCTAATTTCTGAAAAGATTGAGAACAAAAACTCTAAAAGAAAGGCAATATCAAAGAGCATAGGTTATATATGTATATTGACCGAGAAGAAGGGATGAATTGTGGATTTCACCACCAACTGGGACAAAGATCTCTTACGGTCCAAACCGACAAAAACAGTATATTAATTAATTAATTAAAAATGCTCAAATCAATCAGCTCATGATCATAAACCACCAAACCAAACTCTGATTTTGACTCTGTTTTGGTCATTACATGAAATTGACTTTACAATTACATTACTGGGTATTTTTTTCTCTAATGGATAGTCTTAATATATATACATATATATAGAAATTTATAAATTTAGCCTATCCGGAAAATAAAGGAGATGCCTTAATTTTCTGAACCCTAACGCTCTCTTCCCAAATTCCCAGAATTTAAGGGCGATTTCTCCAATTTAGAAAACGTTAAAGACAGAGAAACAGAACAAAACGCAACAAAAGAACAAACAAAAACTTGAAAAAAAAAATAATTAAAAGAAACAGAAAACCTGTCTGGGATTCGCCTTTTGTCTTCCCAGATTCTTGGAACAGAAAAGGCGCCGATCTTTGGACAATCTCTGTCGGAAAGGAGGAGATCCACAAAAGAAGAAGAAACAAAGGAAATCCAGCAAAGAAGTCAATATACATAAAATCGTATTCGACAAAAATATTATGGGAGCGTATAGAGCAGAAGACGATTACGATTACCTATTCAAGGTGGTATTGACGGGCGATTCAGGCGTCGGAAAATCGAACCTTCTATCTCGTTTCACTCGAAACGATTTCAGCAACGATTCTCGTTCCACCATTGGCGTGGAATTCGCCACTCGTAGCATCCAAGTCGACGACAAGATCGTCAAGGCTCAGATTTGGGACACTGCAGGTCAAGAAAGGTGACAGCTAATTTCTGTTCTTGCAAAAAACAAAAACCCTAATATTCCGATCTTCTATTCATGCTTTCTTTGGTTTGGAGTATTGTGTTTGTTAGAAAAAATAAAATAAATAAAAGATACGAACCTATAAGATACGTCGAAATTCGTAGAAACGTATAAAAAAATACATGTAACCATTACATGATGAGTTATATATATATATATCCATTTAAATGAAAAAATATATATAAACTTCCATAAACATGTGTTGTGAAAAGGTATCGAGCCATCACGAGCGCTTACTACAGAGGAGCCGTAGGGGCATTGCTCGTGTACGACGTGACCAGACACGTCACGTTCGAGAACGTGGAGAGATGGCTGAAGGAGCTTAGGGACCATACCGACGCGAACATCGTCATCATGCTCGTCGGCAACAAAGCCGATCTCCGTCACCTCCGCGCCATCTCGACGGAAGAGGCCAAGTCATTTGCCGAGAGAGAGAACACTTTTTTCATGGAGACTTCCGCCCTCGAGGCAGTGAACGTAGACAACGCTTTCACCGAGGTTCTAACTCAGATCTACCGGGTCGTTAGCAAGAAAGCTCTTGAAGCTGGCGATGATCCGACAACTGCTTTGCCTAAAGGGCAGATGATTAATGTTGGAAGCCGAGACGATGTCTCCGCCGTCAAGAAAACTGGCTGCTGTTCTGCGTAATAGTCTCTCTCTCCCTCTCCCTCTCCCTTCCGATCTCTGCTCTGTGTATTTTGAATTATTGAATGCATGCGATTTGTAAGTGTTTTTTTTTTGTTGTGATTGATCTCAAAAGTACAATCGATATGGAAGATTATGAAAATTCTCTTCATTTTTTGGGGAAAATTCCACAAAAATCTATACGTGACACATAAATACTTCAATTTCTAAATTGCTAAATAAATAGTTTAATTTAATCGATTTGTACCAAATAGATACCAACTCCATGACGTCATTAATCGAGCATCTCAATCACACATAAAAGATAACTCTATCAAAATTTGATACACATATTTATGAATTCAATCGAATTAATTAAAACTTAAGATTTGGACATATCTATAAAAATTGTACACAGTTTTTTTTCAAGCCTCGTAAATAAAAGATTTCTTAAAGGTATTTTTATAATACCCCGTTAAAGCTTCTTTTGGATTTTTCTAACATGAGAAATAATTTGCCAATAAAATATAAAATAATAAATGGAAAATATTCTTTAAGCTTAATGGGCTTAGAATTGGCCCATTTCTTTATACTGGATTTGGGTCAAAATACATTTTTTGTCATACATATTTTTGTACAAAATCTAAGTCTTCCCGTGCCTACGTAACAATCGAATAGTGTCGCATTTTTGTGTAACTTAATATTTATGTATAAATAAATTAAGAAAATTAAAATTATATATCATTTATCTTATTAAAAAATAAAAATAAAAAGAGAAAATATCACGCGGAAGATAAGCCAAACCCAAATCCGAAATCCAAAGGGCGAGACCAATAAACCCTTCGGCTTTTTCCTGACCGTACGATCAACAAAAGTGGCCCCCCGACAGCTTCTGATCACAGACAACGACAGGTCTAATCCTTTTTGGCAAATACTTATGTGGGTCCCTTTATCCCCATCCACGTGTCACAAATCAACTCCCCGAGAGATGAGTCAACAATTTCTTCCGGGTCCCACATCAACAGATTAAGACAGTCTCGTATAACCGTCGTATGTCTCATCCTCCCGATTAATTAATTAATGAATTAAACAAGCCAGATCGGACGGTTGTTATTCGCCGGTGTGACACGTGGCGTAAAGGATATCTGATGTGACTAAAGTACGATGAAGCTCAGACAAAACATTGGAGAGAGGGCGAGCGCACCCGCGTAAAAGTCGAGGGATTTCTGGCTACTGATGTTGACATTTTATTTATTTTTAATAAATCTTTTGGTTATTTGATATATTTTTTAGAATTATTTCTCCTTACATATTTGTTTTCTTAACGTTTTACTATTTAGGTCATGAAGAGTTTTTCTTTTTTACTGTGATGTAAAAACAGGAGACAATGTCTCTGGAAGATCTCACGCGCTCGCTGCACAACTCCGTGTTACTTTTCTTCCTTTTTCTTTTTATAAATTAATGTAGTTTATTTGTATCATTAAAATGCCAATCGGAATTGGAAATTGTTATGTCCCATTTGATACGTTAGTTGGATATGGAAAAATTGGATATTCGTGTATTGTTATAATTTTTCTAAAGGACACATAATTGATCGAATTATCCGAAAATATTTGGATATCATATAAATATCCGGAGTTGAGATATTGAACAATTTGAATTTGTCAATAGATTTTAAACCCTATAACCTATAAATTCCGTAAACGAATATCCATTCCCTAGTTATATAGTTTTATTACAAGTTTTATTTTGTATTATATAATATTTAGCCGCATAAATATGGATTTCGCACATTGATTTGTTTAGTTTTCTAATACATTCCTAGTGTCTAGGGATCTTGTAATTTTTTTTTTACGGACTGGATATTGGAAACTTGCCAAATATTTTTTTTTATGACTAGGTGGAGGTGAGAGTGAGTAGTGGATATTTTATATTCCCTTTGTCTTTTATTTTTTTAATTTTTTTCACTATTATAAAAAATTATATGTAATGGTAATTTTCGTGTTGAATTTTATTCAAATTACTTTTGTTAAAAGTATTTATTACATTATTATATATATTTTTATAGTTTATATCTTTTTAATTTATTTTCTAAAATATATTTAATCAATTTTATATAATGATGTATTATTTAATTTCCATTCAATTTTATATATACACACACTTTTACGAGAACAAACAAGGCAAACTTTTACAGATAAGATGTTGAGAAGGTAGTGGTTAATAAATTTTATAAAGTTTTCACCCACCTTGAACCAACTTTTGCAGAAGCAATAATTTTGGATTTGGATCACGAAGACCAATTAATTGCTCTAAAATGCATTGAACCCGATATTTGCTATTTTTAAAATATCCGACAATTGCAAAATAGCCAAAAGGAAAAAACATCACAAACAAATTGGATACTAGAGTAGAAACTTTATTTGATTTGTATGATTATTGGTTATAGCCGGACATTATGGTATTTGCATCGAGTGGGATTATAAGAGTGACTTTGTTAGTATTTGCTTACTGATATTACATTAACATTTGGTCAAATATTTAAATTAATATAAGTTTGACCGGAATCCGAGTGGGTTTCAGAATTTGGATAATATTGATTAATTGAATAACTTTTATATATGTGTAATGCTACGAATGAATAACGAAATCTTTCAACGTATTTTGTTTTTACTCACATGCATCATGATAAATATTTATTAAGAAATTACCTATACTTAGATTATCGAAAAAGTAAATATATTTTTGTTGATATAAATAACTCAATCAATTTTTAATTTATCGTTGATTGTATAGTCACATTTATATATAGTCCTCTAATCTGTCTCACTATAGTATGCGTTCGTTTCCGTCATGCCTCTCTGCCCTAATGGTCTCAAGGAAACCGCTTTTTGTCCGTGTCATTCATACCGACAATTACTCTCGACACTCATTATAGTACGAGATATCACAATATCGATAGATTTTAACTGATTTTAATAGTTAAATAGCTTGGCTCAAGTTTAATAAAATTGTTGTAAGCTATAAATTAAAGTATTTTTAAGACTGTATGAATTCAACAACGTTAATTTTTTTATCACAATTTGTTTTTACCCAAGTGTGTTATAAAACAATATCATCCTTATATATATATATATATATATATATTATATTTTTAAACTATTATAAAGAATTATACATCATTGATTCATTATCTCTAATGATTGACAACGGTTAGATGTAAACGATATCCGAATTCGTGCAAATATTATTATTTCAACTATATTCAAAAGTGTTCTCAGTAAAATCCTTTTAGTTTTGACAACTTATTTGAAACTCAAAATTTCTTATTTTCCATGGTTCTCTCCAAAATTAATTTTGAAATAGCATTATATTGTACCTATTAAATACTGTAACTGCATAATTCGTATCAACATATTTTCCAGTCCAATCAAATTGTCGAAAACAAATAATAACTACAAAATTGTACAAGCATATATATATATATATAACTGAGAGAGTTAAAAACACTTGGTTACTTTATATGTGTTTATATATAAAGGAAACTTTATTTTTACCATAAAATGAAAAAGGGTTATGGTTTTTATAGAAATAATATCCTCCTATATCACTGAAAAATATAGACTTTAGAGGAAATGTGTGTGTGTATATATATATATATAATAACTTAATAAAAAAAATAATTAAATGAAAGAAAAACCGAATAAATAAGCAAAAGTAGGTATTGGCCAAAATTAAACATACAATGTTAGTGCGGTGGGTGGCACTGCCACTGACACAACTGATTAAAGTTGGGATTGAAATAAAGTCACATAAAATGGCAAATATATTTATTTTTTTATATATATATATATATATATATATATATATATATATATATTAAAATAATACATTATTTACCGGCGCGTGATTTTCAATTTCTTCAGGTAGGCGAAAACATCAACATTTGCTAATATTTTTAGTCCAATATATAACATTTAAATCTAATTAATCGAAAATTCGCGTACATTGTCAGTTGACATATTACAACGAAACCGCCGTCATGATACTCATAGATAATATACCACGCACCGTATAGAAAATAAATAATACATACGTAAATTACCATTAACTAACGGTAATGCACTAATTTATGTCGATTCGATTTATTTTATTTTTATTATTGTTCGTGTATATATATATATATATATATATACAGTTTTAGACATGATTTTATGGACGAATTTTTTTTTTATTATTTTCCACGTATCAGTCCATAACAAAATAACATTATTTATCACATAGAAACTTTAAAATTTGTAATAAATTTACCAAAAAAAGGTATATGTCACAAAAAGGGCAAAACCATGTATTCAAAATAAAATAAAAATAAAAAGGAATTGAATCTCGGATATCTAGCAGTAGTAGAAATGGTACAATATAATAAACCCATGGTACAATAGGTGCAACTTAATACACAGAACCAGTCAATGCTATCTCCTTTGGTGATTCGACTTTCTTTGAATCATTTGTCACAAAATCTCCATATCAAAATCAAACCATTTATTTATTTATTTTTAAATAATAATGATAATAATACATGAAACAAAAACAAAAAACAAAAAGCATTAATGAATGTGGGGTTTCCCTGCAAATTGTCCAGAGACAGAGTCATGAATTGAATATTGCTCGTGTGTATATATATATACACATACATACATACATATGTATATGTGCGTGTGTGAGAGAGAGAGGAGTTACCAAAAGGAGATAGAAATCAGATGTCGGGTCAATAACCAATTGGGTATTTGGATTTTGTAACCCGTTTTGTCCGGGTCCTTTCCCTGTTTATGTATTACTTTTCCTTTATACCTATATATATATATATATACATAATCATAAAGTGTAATAGAATTGCGTGTTATAGTTTCAATATTCAAATCCAATTGCACTGTGGTCTGACCATTGGGGGTTCCATTGTAATTTACGACGACTCACATTTTACTCCATTTCCGGTAACACTCTCAATCAATCCTTTCAAACAACCCTAAATACACCCCCCTTATGTTATCCGATATATGTATATGTTATATGTGTGTATATATATATATATATTTGTATATGTAATTATGTATATGTATAAATATGTGTATATGTATATAGAGAGAGACCAATAATATAATTTATAACCTTTATAAGTCATTATTATTGCAATCACAATTCAATTAGTCCACTTTTTGTCTTAGCGCCGTGCGTCGGAGGTATTAGATTTCATTTTCATCAATCTATTTTTGATGAATCATCAATCTATAGGTTGTTGAATATTTATTTATTTTGTGTTGAAATATTATTGTTAAAGTTGTTCATTTGTATACATCGAAATGATGTTTTATTAAATTAAGAAATCGAAAATATATTAGTAAAGCATATTTTCTAAATTCAATCAAAACTTAAAACTTTGAATTCATATGTTCTGAATATCGGCAAGTGATTTCTGTTGTTGTATTTATAAATGGCATATTACGCGAATATGCAAATTTTTTAAAATTAAATTAATATGAAATTGCAATTTTGGATTGATAGAATTAGAAAGGGCTTCTAATTTTACTTTTAATATCCTTTCCCGAAAGCATTAAAGTTAAGATAATACAAAAATTGTGATATGATTAGGTGAATTCCCTGTTTGGTTAGACATAATAATTAGCATTTTGAAAAATCTCTTTTCACAAAAAAAAAAAAAAAAAATCAAACCCAACCATTTATAACTTGGGGCCTTTTATTTTACGTATTAGCAATTCTTAATAGGCAACTAGAATTTTTATAATCTTATGGTGAACAAAGTAACATATGATTGGGACGACCAATGAATCAAAGCGTATGGACATGCAAATACATCTACAATTAACTAAACGAATATCATTGATTGTAAATTTTCTAACTCTATTGACTTCAAAAATCGAACATTACGAGATGAAAAAAAATAAGGGAAAACCGAATTTTAGACACTTGAAAGTAAAAGAGGCCAACTAAACTAAGGGATTCGATCGTGTAATAAAAACCATCATCCATCATCATCATCATCATCATCATCATCATCATCATCATCATCTCTCTCTCTCGGTGGAGCACAAAGTGTCCAAAGCCACACATCAGTCATCAGACGCAGGCCACTGTGCAGATGCAGCAGCAGACAATGTCTCTGCTCCTCCCTCAGCTTTCCAGTCTCAAAAATCACCACTTTCTTTTCCTTTTTTCATCTAATCATCTCATCAAAATCAAATCTTGACGCAAATTAAATCTTGGGTTTTGTTAAATAAATTTCAAAAACTTTTCTTTTTTGTTGGGTTTCGATTATTCGGCCTTTTTTTAGAGAGACTTCTCACTGTAACATTGTTTCTCCCTTCACTCGCTTATCCGCCAGTCCCTCTAAACATTAAAAAAAAAAGCTTTTTTTTTTGTTTTGCATCACGAAATGCGTTGATGAACCAACCCGACCTTTCACCACTTCTTCTGCTGCTGTGTTCTCTCTCTATTGATTGATGGGTGGTTTGATCGATCTGAACGTGACGGATACGGAGGAAGACGAAACGCCCTCTTCGGCTTCTGGGTCTCTCTCTCCTTCTTCCTCCTCCGCGTCCGCGTCTGCGTCTGTGTCTGCGTTTGGTGGCTCATATCCTTCCTCCTCGAGTTCTGGCGTTTGTTTGGAGCTGTGGCATGCCTGCGCGGGACCACTGATCTCTCTGCCGAAAAGGGGAAGCCTCGTGTTGTATCTTCCTCAAGGGCATTTGGAACAATCCCCCGATTTCTCCGCCGCGGTTTACGGTCTCGCCTCTCATGTGTTCTGTCGTGTTCTCGATGTCAAGCTTCATGTGAGTTTCTTGTTAATATGTCTTGCCCTCGAGGTTTTTGGAGATGGGTTTCGTCCGATTCTTCGATTTTCCCGGAAAAATCCATGCTTTATTCGCGAATCTGAGCTGGGTCCTTCGACGCTGTTGGAATGTTGGGAGTATAGAAATCTGTGCCCTCAATTGTTGAATTTTTTGAGACAAAGGAACCAAATTATCGAATAGCTCAGTGGATGTTTTTTTAAATACAATCTCTTTAACCTAGGAGTTTATGTTTATTTTCCCGGGAATGTTCAAGATTCTGTTCGGTTGGCGAGAAAATTTTGGGCGACATTTTTCTCTCTCTCAATTCCTTGTTTTGGAAGACGAGAAACAGAAACTAACTCTGCGTAGGCAAGATTTCCCTTTTTGTTCCACTCTCAGTTCTTATAGTAATCTGATTATCGAAATGTCTCTCCACTTGAGCCTCTCTCCTCAGTTCTTTTGACTTTGTCCTAAGCTTTGATTCCGTAGGCAGAGGCAGCTACTGATGATGTCTATGCTCAAGTCTCTCTTCTCCCTGAGTCTGAGGTGAGTAACCTCATCTTCATTCAGACCAATGCGTTTGCTTATTTCACAACCATTTTCGCTAAAGACTGAAGAGTTGAGATGTAAATGTACAAACTGTCGTGTAAACTGTCGACCGTGTAGGACATTGAGCAGAGATTGCGTGAAGGAAGCATAGAGATAGATGGAGGAGGAGGAGGAGGAGAAGATGATTATGAAGTGCTTAGGAGGTCAAGCACTCCTCACATGTTCTGCAAGACCCTCACTGCCTCTGATACCAGCACTCATGGTGGTTTCTCTGTTCCTCGCCGTGCTGCTGAGGATTGCTTCCCGCCTCTGGTAATTCTTTCTTTCTGCAATTTTCGCCCTCTTCGAGTGAAAGCTTTCTGTTGAGGTTTTCATGGTCTTGGGACATGCTTTAGTACTGAACCATTCGGACACTATCTTGGTCATGTTCTTATCTGATCCCATCTTCATTTCTCCAACTATTTAGCATCATCCTTAGTAGTTTGGTACCATAGAGATGATATGCACGTGTTGGTATGAACGAGTAAACTATCTTGTGCACGGGTTTTTAGCATCCGGGTTTTTCAATGGATCGATTATGTAGGACTATAGCCAACCACGGCCTTCTCAAGAGCTTGTTGCTCGGGATCTACACGGTCTGGAATGGCGGTTTCGCCACATTTACAGAGGTACTTCCTCAGAAGAAACATCGAATTGTTATCATTGTGGCTCGTGGCGAGATCTTGGAGCAAGATATCGAGCTGTTTTTTTTCGTGGTTTTACCGATCAGGACAACCTAGAAGGCACTTGCTCACTACGGGTTGGAGTGGCTTTGTGAACAAGAAGAAGCTTGTCTCTGGAGATGCTGTGCTTTTCTTGAGGTTGTATAAAAAAAAACTGTTTATGTTTTTTTTGATTATCGTTAATATTGGTTGCTCGATTCAGAGGGGACGATGGAAAGCTGAGACTCGGGATTAGAAGGGCTGCTCAAATGAAAGGAGCTTCCCTTCTTTCTACTCAGTTCGCTCAGAATTTGAATCAAAGCAACTTTGCTATAATAGCTCATGCCATATCTGCCCAAAGTGTTTTCAACATTTACTACAACCCCAAGTAAGCTCCTCGCCTCTCCGTGTGTTTTTTCTTCGGGTTTTTTTTGTGGGTCATGTCTTGATGGTATAACCGTACAAGTTTTTCATGTCAGCATCAAAATTTCTTGAGGATTGATAAATGTGGAACGAAGATTGTAACGACGGTGTTTATATCTGATGATTGTTGCGCTTTTTCGCCAAAGATTTCTGAGTTGTACTTGTCATTATTCGGTGAATCATTTTCTCGGAGATATATAGTGTTCATCATACAAATGCCAGATTTCGTTTGTTTCTTTGTGTTTGTACCGAGATTTAAGTAGCACATTTTTTTGACAAATCTTCGGGTCCAGCTGGTCAGATTTCATAATACCGGCGCATAGGT